TAACACTCTATTCGGAGAAAACTGTTTGATTCAGTACCGCGTCGTGTTGCAATTTTGCGACTTTGGGGCTTAAAGGGTTAAAATAACGTACAGTATTTGGTGTCAGCAGGGGTGGTGCCAGTGGTGGAGTTTGGGGGGGCATTCTCTTTTTTGGACTTTTTCGCCAGTTTTTTCGTATTTTGTGTCTAATTTTTCTCCAGCTGTCTTCATCATGCTGAAACTATGACACAACAAATTTTGAGGATGACTAATTTTAATTCCTGCCACCTTCCGATAATATTTTTAGGTTACATAACATAGGTAGGGTGGGAATTTGGCTCAAACAGCATTACTAATCTTGAAATCTATTCCTGTTAAACTATACTGCAGAAGAGTTCACAGAATTAATGTTTAGCTTTGTTATGTCCTTCGTTATGTCCATATACACTGATAACAATGATAGGGCGGGACCTATAGAGGGCGATATTTCCCCAGTAATGGAACTTTTGCTCCAATTTTCCTGTCCGATCAGAGAGACTGAGGGGAAATTACACAAAGTTATTTTAAATGTCTTAAAGATTCAGGGCTTTTCAGAAAACATTCGGGGCTACAAAAAGAAAGTAAATGAAAACAGTTAATGTCCTTGTCACTTCATACTGTACACACTTCCAACACAGATTGTACATGCTAAAAGGAGCATTCTATCTCACTGTGGTACTTCCTGATATATAAATAATTTCACACGTTTGCAGAACATATGTCCCCAGTTTGACAAGGCAAGACAAACTATGGACAGCAGAAGCACACCCACAGCCAAAATGCATTAACGTTGGACCACTTTCTGTGTGTATACTCTATTGTAAATTATCTATGATCCAGGTATTATAAATATTACAACCAACACAGTGAAAATAAGATATAATCATGAATGCATTAAAACAAATTGTACTCCAGGTTCCTGCAGGTTTGCGTTGACTTTACTTTTATTTGTCATATTTATCTAACACGTCATTATAAAACTATTCAGGTATCCAAACTTACTTTTCTTGCCCATCTGCATGCAAATGCAAATGTGATAGCCTACACTGGAGTTGATCCAATGGAATAATTGAATTGCATTAGCCTCACATGTGATTGAAATTATACAGCGAGCCTGGAGTAGAATTTCATCATGAGCTGTGGCTCATTCATCCAAAATCTTGCTCAGTGATGCAAATACTCTATCATTTAAACTCATTTATCCTAGCTTTAGGGTTTGCAATGGAGACAAATGTGATAGCTCTCCACCCCTCCTTCACAGACACACACACACACTCACAAAAATGTTAGGTGAGAAATAAACCAGGAAAGGAGAGGAATCCAGTGGAACGCATTCATTCATTACTCAAATAGACTTGTTGCTTTTAGCAACACAAAATTGGTGACATTTCATTTTACAACCTTCCAAGCGCTTTCTCCTCTCTTAGGTCTCGCTCATTCATCCTTTATTCCCCACATTCACGCAGAAATGTTCCAAATGAGGTGAAGGCGGCATATTCAGCAGGGCAGCTTCCAGGCTGAAACAAACTGGTGAAATATCAGCTTCTGTTTCATAAATGATGATCCATCATCGTCTATCTGTTCTGTCTTCCTTTTCATTCTTCCTTCCTCTCTGGTAGCTTGTGCCTCAGAAAGATGTTAATTGGAGCTTGGATCTTTGATCTTTGACTGGCTTTGGGAAATAATAATTCATCCTCATGATATTTAATATTTAAAATATTCAATAATTGATCTAGGGTTCGGCTCCAATAGCCACTTCCTTTATGGATCCAGTTCCCAGGTGGCCAAATACCCAAATTTATTAAGCTCTAAAGAATTTCTTTCTCATTTTATCTCTCCTTGCTCTATTTTAGTAATAGAGTAATGTGGAACCTATTTACATAGAAGCTTCTAATTTTCAGCAGGGGCTGATGGGCACTTTTACCAGTTAAAATGAGGAACATTGTTATTAGCTGTACCGAATGAACTTAATAAGGTAATGGCTAAAATAAGACTTTTGGATGGATCTGTATCCAGATCTGTATATCATGTCATATTCTCTCATATGAACATAAATATAAAATCAAAGATCCAGTATGTAATCTTCTGCATACTATCCACACACATACAATTCTATCACTTTGGATGGTACAGTATTTTTGTTGATCCAGCTGACTGTATCACGCTCATGTAAAATAAGAAGGCTGCACCTGTTCTTTTAATGTGTCAGATATAATTAAGTAACATCTCATATCTGATCTCATTTTCCGGTTAGAGCTACAGGTTGTGAACGTTAATTAGGCTGCCACTCTATTTCTGCCTTCTCAGTCAACAAAAGGTGATTACGGATTATTATACCGATTTCTAGTTATTTATAACTTCAGTTGCTTGCAAATGCTGAAGGCCAAAGCTAATTAGATTCGATAAGAGATTCAAAAAGGAGCTGGATTTGATCAAATGCAAGTGAACCCAAACCCCTCAATTGATTACATCTGACCTAGCAGGCTCAATGTCGTCTTCATTAGGACTACTTTTTCCATGAAATTTGCTCATTTACTTTTGAAGTTGGATGCCGCACCACGAGGTTCAGTGAATAGATTTAATTCTCAGAAGTAACAAATAGAAGGAGTGTTAGTTTCTGCTTGTGCATACGGTTAATCACACTTTCTGCGTACCGTGCTGAGAATGGCAACAATGGGACAACACCTACCCGTACAGTCGCGCAGCTTGCCAGAGGATGAGTCAGCGTTACAGTGTTACACCTCACCCGACGTCATGCTGGATGGCGGCTGAGAAAGAAGACAAACATACAGGGGCAGATGCAGATCTACGCCTGTTATGCTCGGCCAACGATAAATATGAAACATTACAGAGATTTAATGAGGCGGACTCGCCACCTCAACAAAGCTAAGGTGATGAAAGGCCAAACTGTTTTTCCAATGTGAGTTGTGTTTGTTTTTGATCATGGACCAGTCAGTGGAAAAGTTTCCTTAACGGCATAATCTGATCTCAGGATTAGCTATCTGTCTTTGCCAAAATAAAACAGATGGAATGAGAATGCCTCGCTTCGGGGAAGTAAAAGAGAAGGAGCGCATGCAATGTGGTGACTTCATAGCTGAAGAGATAGTGAGCGAGAGATATTCCTTGCTGAGTTTTGTTGTCATGTTGTTTTTTTATCCAGTTCATTTTTTATTTGTTGTTTGGATTGTTTTTCAGTTGCAGCCATTTATCAGTCCCTTGTTTTTTTTTCTTTATCTCACTTGCTTTAACTTATTTTTTATTGCTTTTATTTTCAGTGTTGCATGTGCAGCACAAAGGGTAGTTCCGTTATATCAGGTTGATGGTATTTTAAGTATAAAATACATATGATTGAGCCCGCAAATCTCTCTACTGGTGAGATTTTTCTATGCATTTTGAGCATGCGTTTCTTGATCCGCAGCCTTTTTTTTCCTTGTTCTGCAAAACACTTTAAGAAAACCTATCTTGTCTGTATCAGCACATCAAGCAGTCCTCCTGTGGGGCTTGTCAGACACCCGTCACAAACTGTGACTATGAATGGCATCGCGGTGACCCCGGCGTAGCTGTGGCACGGGCACACAAAAACCCATGCAAGCCTATTCTTTCACTGTGGTTCACAAGCGCACACACAAGCGACTTTTAACTTGACTGAACTTCGGAGCTGATGCACGCTGGGCTTAGTGACGTTTGACTTGATTACTATGGAGAGCTGCCAGCAGTGTTTGCTCTAGAAAGTTGCAGTTCTGACACCCGACCGCTTGCCATAGACTCTACACACACACATTCACGCAGAAGAAAAAAAAATGTATATACACACACAACACCTTCCCGTCCTTTCATATACTCGTTTGAGTTTTTTGAGCGCTCCCATTCCTGTGAGGGGAGTCACTCGGACAGTGTGTCTGATCTCAGTACGCTGCCTGGTGATTACACAGATAAAAGGGCAAGGCACAGCCTAAGAGGCGACACCAGGGGCTGGAAACAACACCCGACACTGATTTGCAGCAACATCAGCGGCGATGGAGACCGACAAGGGTGTTAAGTTCCATCGAGGGAGGTCAGGGTTATCATGGACGTGAAAGAAAAAGCCCTTGTTCGGCTGGGTTGACATGCTCGAGCTCATGTAAATCCGAAAAGGGAGAAGTTTTATCGTGTATCACAAGCATGGAGCGGTCAAGCTGCTTGTATTCACATGCACAATCAAATCATGGTATTGAATCTAAGATGGGAGGTTGTTTCAGTGCCTCTCATTCGGAATGCAACCCTTTGTCAACTTAACAAACACATTCAAATGTTGTTGGGAAATAGCTACAGCTGCAAAATTTCTAATAATTTTTTTTTTTGCAAGGATAATTGCAAGTCATTTGTGTCAGGAAACAGATATCACTTCAATAGTTTCATAATCAGATTATTTTTGAAAAAAAAAGTTGATTGCAGTCAACCCTGGATAATACCCTCGATCTGATTACAGCTATGCTTTCAGAGGTCACAATTACTTTCCTTAATTGCTTTGAGAGATTTAAGAGCGTTCAAAACAGATACCAAAGTTCCCCGTGGGTCTCTTTTTGAAGCACATCCACCGCATTCTTGACTGAAGGGCAGCCAGCCTTCTCCTGATGTGTGGAGCCGAGCCAAGTGCACGATTACTGTCCCCCCGATGAACGATAAACAGCAGCGATGGGAGGTTATTCAAATTGCATCGAGGGGCCGGAACTGCTGACAAGTAAAGCGTGCGGAGAGGAAGAGACAAATCGAGTCGGACATACCTAA